AAAATGCTAATTCTTGTATATTTAAGTAAAGGGTAATTAGTACCTACGTCCTTACATTTTACTATTATTGTAAAACGTCGTTTTTTGACATTTTTACTCTTATTTCCCTATTTCATTGCGCAAAAAGTCATTTTCATCCATTTTCTCAATTAAAAACTGTGAAATGACGAATATACATTTCTACATAAATTTTTAAAGAGATTAATTGCAACTATAGTCCGAATTTTTTTTAAAAGTGCAGACAAAGCCCAATTAATTTATTAAAAGAGTAATTAGCACATAATGTTCATATTTTTCACTATTATTGTAAAAATAGTTCATTCTTTCATTTTTTAGCATTTTCACCCTTAATTACACATTTAATTAAGCAAACCCTTTCAATTTCTAATTTTTTAATAATTTATTTTGGATTCGTTTGTACATTTTTAAAAAATTTGGAGCTATGGTTGCAATTAGGTCTTTATTTTTATTTTTTTATATTTAAATAGAAGGATATATTCATCATTTCATAGTTTTTTATTAAAAAATTGGATGAATTTAGATAGAAATGATGGTTTGCACAATCAAATGTATAATTAAGTTTGAAAATATCAAAAAATGAAAAATATGAACGTTTTCATAATAATAGTGAAAGGTAGAGACATTACGTGCTAATTATCATTTTACTAATTTATTTGGGATTTATTCGCACTTCTTTTAAAAAAAATTTGAGACTATGATTGCAATTAGTTATTTTTTTCTTTCTATTTTATTATATTCGTCAATTCACATCTTTTAATTAAAAATGTGGATGAAACCGACATTTTCTGCAATAAAAGGTCGAAATAGAGGTGAAAGTGCCTAAAAATAAAATGTATGAACGTTTTCCACAATAATAGTAAAATGTGAGGACATTATGTGCTAATTACTCTTTGAATGAAAATGCTAATTTTTATATGTTTAAGAGACCACAACCTTCACCTCATAGCCGCCGTTCGACCACCTAAATTGTTTCTCATTTTCTTCTTCCCTCCTTGGCGCGCTACAGTGCATTAATAAATAATTGGTTATGGCTAATTTTGAACGATAGCAAGGTATCCTTTACGAGTTACAAAGGGCCAACTTGGCCATGAATGATTTGAGTGGAATTACGCAGCATCGTTGAGTATGAAATGAAAGTT